TGACGGTGTTTGAGAACAGGGTGCTGAGGAGAATATTTGAACCTAAAAGGGATGAAGTGTTAGAAGTTTGGAGAAATCTGCGTAAAGAGGAGCTTCGTAACTTGTACTCTTTGCCAAATAGCCAAGGAGTATGAGATGGGAATGGCATATAGCATGCATAAGAAAGAAGAGAATTATGTAGTTCTTTTGGTGGGTAAGCTAGAAGGAAAGAGACCACAGGAAGACGTAGACTTAGATGGGAGGATAATATTAAATCCGTCTTAGAGAAATAGGATGGGATGGTATGGATTGGATTAATGTGGGTGAGGTTATGGTCTCTTGTAAACACAGTGATGCAATTGGATGTTCTGTCCCGTAAATTCACCTAAATGTACTGGAACAGCACGATGAGTCCTACGATAGACGGTACCTCGGTCAAGATACGAAAGCGGTACTTCCTGAATACAAGCTGCCCCGTTCTACATATTCTTAACCTCGGGACAAGACGCAGGCTAGCGGCCATCTTCAAGCTTCGTAGTAACAGATTTAACGTCTATTTTTTTTAGTTGGATCCCATTTTCAAGGTTCGTTGCGTTTTGAATGAGTACTGAATGTATTAGTCTTTGAGATTATAAAACACGCTGTGCATGACCTGTTTATGGTACAATTTGTAAATCTTTCACTTGCAAAAAAAAAAAGAAATCGGTTTTCTCACAGAACCGGGGTATTTGGAAAACTTCGAATCGATTGGTATTATGCTCGGAAGATGTCGCATGTTCCCGCACTCGTTTAGGTGTGCCTCTAGCGTCAGTATGCTGAACAATCTTTGACCGGCCTCGATTGAGTAATGTGACAGCACAGGAGTGGCGTCAGTCAGGTCATGTTTACGGCGGGAAGTTTGAATCACGAGAGGCAATGTAACAGCATATTTGCGTGTCAACACACGCATATCCACAATATTTATAGCATATTAGGAAACAAGCTTAATCACAAATTTTATGCGCTGGATTAATAAGTAAGTGCCAAGTTGCTTGTAAAGGCCATTTTTTTTTTATCCTGAAAGTGTTATCTAAAAATTACACATAAATAAATGTGGCAGAATTCTTTTCGCTGTAAGTAGATTAGACGCTTGTTTTTAAAACTTTAATAGACATATGTCATTGGATCAAAATTTTGAAACAGCACTCTCCTTTCGTTTGATTCTACACGTATTCCGAGAGACTATTCTACTGAGGATATTCATGATTTTTGTCAGTCCTTTCCATAAGGCATGTTATTATAGGAACCCACAATTAGCCACAAATGCTCAATTTTCAGCTCTACTTCCACAGTAAATCTGAAATTTCTAAACTTAATGCTGCTGTCCACATAGAATCACTAAATAAATAATTTCAAAACATATCGCTGCTCTGAGTTTCGAAGGTTAGATGTGGTCAGTGGTCAGAGTTCCTGGCTACAGATCCCGAGATTCCGGGTTTGGTCCCCAGCATTACCAGATTTTCTGAGAAGTAGTGGGTCTAGAACGGGGACCACTCAACCTCGTGATGACAATTGAGTAGCTACTTCAAGGAAATAGCGGCTCCTGTATAGAAAACTGAGATTAACGGCCGTGTGGATCCGTTGCGCTGAACACGCGACACCCTCTATCCGCAAAAGTTGGCACTAACTTCGCCGACAAGCGGTGGTCGCTCGGTCCGTATAGTTCGCTTGCGGATTACAGGCCAGGGAGATTTTTTTTTTTGGTTGTTCAGTAACATTGACTGGTTTCTTTTGTTTCCAGATATCTTTTCTCAACTTCGACGAAGATAACATTCTGTCAGTTCAGCTAGAAATTCTGAGTTCATCAACACCTGCTAAAAGGAAACCAGGTCAGTGTTTCCTCCAGTCACATGGTAATTTAACCATCGCCTATTTATTCGATAGTTTGTAGAAGTTTACTAATATATTTTCCAGGACTTCCACACATTACAACTGATGTATTGAAATCTGATATCAATGATTCTGTCTTTGCAAACGAGGGACATCTTGAAACAAGTTTTGTATCTGTTCCCAATACAGATAAATCCTGAAGAGGAAATCCGCACTCATTAGTGCACCAAAAAGCAATTTACTTTGTCATATGCAATATAATTTCTCAAGAGAAGAATTATATTCAGCTGATTTTTATTTTAACTGAAAATGATTTGGAGTTTTGGCAGGGCATGTAGCACGAATGGGAGAGAGGAGGAATCCATATAGGATATTGGTGTGAAAGCCATAAGGAAGGAGACCACTGGGAAGATCAAGACGTAGGTGGGTGGGCAATATTAAATGGATCTTAGAGAGGTAGACTGAGATGGTATGGTTTGGACTCATCTGGCTAAGGATAGGGACCAGTGGCTCTTGTGAAGACGGCAACGAAACTTCGGGTTCCCTAAATGCTGGGAAGTTCTTGAGTAGCTGCATAATTGGCGGCTCCTCCAGAAGGGTTCAGCTCCATGAGTGAGTGAGTGAAATACTAGAAGTTTCAATATAAGTGATTTCACTTACATCGTCACTTAAAGCAAGGGGTTAGCTGTAGACAAACTTAGACAAATACCAACCCCTAATTTCTTATGCCTAATGACAAGCCAATTTACACAAATAATCAATGCTGTTAAGTAACTCAATTAGTACGCTTTCGTAAGAAATATTTCCTGCATTGGTCCTGGCGTTTCCTGCTTGAAAACTTCATAATTCTTGGTACATATCAAAATACACGTGTTCCAAATTTTCTCAAACCTTTTACTTCTAAAAATAGTCATACCTGCTCCCTTTACAGACTAGCAAAATGTTTCGAGTATAATAGAAGAACTGGAAAATACATCCCTGGACAATGCCGTTACCAAGTAAGTGCTTCGATCATGCACAACTGTCATATGCCTAGCTACATGTGTGTGCAATGCGCCCTTAATGGAGAGAACATTGCAGTTGGCTGGAGGATGAAAGTTGGCTAACGCGTTCAATGGAGCTCCCCTAATGGAGGGAGTCAGAAAGTAGGTCACAAATGGAAGTAAAACAGATGTAACCGACGTAACAGGGTTTCTATACGTATCACTAGGCAGCAGCACAGTCCAGCGTAATGATGATCTAGGTAGAAGATAGGCATGCGCAGGTTCAGTGGCTGGTTTTAATAGTGTTCGAGGAGTATACTACCGAATAGCAGCGTTCTGTTGTCCTTTTTTGTGGGCCAAAATACTCAATGCAAAGGATCGTAATAAAGAAAGGTTTCCTGTTTAAGTTGAGAAGTGTTTTCCGCGTAAAGTGGATCACAGCTGCGTGCAAAGTTTGGAATGGAGGTACAGAAATGGCTGAGGCAACAGTCAAAAGATTTCTATGCTACGGATTTCAACGCATTTGTAAAGCGATGTGTCAAGTGTATTAATGTTGGTGGAGGATTTATCGAGAAATTAATGTTTTTTTTTCAAATTCGAATATCGCATGTTTTACGTCTTATATCTAATTTTGACCTATTTATTGACTCCCCTCGTAGTTGCTGTTAGTATACAGGCATTTATTGATATTATAAAAATCGATTAATTTTATTCGAAGCTTTTATAATGTTAGATGTATACAGGCGTGTTATTGGCGGGAGATGGAGTTAAATATTGACCTAGACATATCATTCTGTAACACTTAGGAGAGGAAAGGAGTACGGGACAGAGCATGGGAAGTTAGTAGTACGAAAGTTTGTATTACAAAAATGAGATTTCCCATTGAATTCTTGATGGATGTTATAATAGTACGCATAAAATGACATTTTTCCTTATTGATCTTGGTAGCGATTTCAGCATTGAACATGATCTACAAACTATCAAGACAAACACCGCAATGGGTTCTGTCACGTGACATTGTTTCAGTTATCATTTTCAGTTTCTAATAGTGAAAACATGATAATGGAATATGAAAAAGAATATATTCGTCCGCGCGAACAAAATTCTTCTGACATTACTTGCACAAGCCAATATACACGCATAAATTACTATAAATATTTACGACAGAAATACATATACTTATATTACTGGTCCTAAATGATTAGCATTCGCTCATATCTTTCATCCATTCGTTTGTGCTGTTTCTAGTCCCTTCCATACGTACAGCCATAATTGTTATTATAAAACAAACATAAATTTCTAAACAAGATTGAAAATTTCACTCAGATAACACCTTATTGATGAAAGCTTTATAATACGGTTCCCTTTCTTGCAGCAGGTAAGATAAGGGTAAATCTGTCCCTGTGCTTCATTAGTGAAGCATTATGCCATGAAGATACGGAAGGGTAGAGGTATACCTCCAACCCTCTTGACCTCGGCTCTAGATATAGATGCGTGGTTAACTGCAGGCCCTGCCGTTTTGATACAGCTGAACTCGCCCCTGGTACCCATTACATAGGCGGCTGGGTGGGCCCCAGAACCGGTCTGCACGCTATGGAAAAGAGAAAATTTTTTGTCCTGCCTGGAATCAAACCCCGGTTGTCCATCGCTATTCAGATCGAGTTACTTAAATCTTATATCTCTCCCGATTGGAAATGCCACTTTTAACTTGAAACGAAGAAGTTCAAAGGAACCAGTATTATATCTAAATTTAAGTCACGGGGATAAAGCGGCGGGGACGTGAAGCTAACCACTCACTTCCAAATAATGCCAAGGCAGAGTATACATGGATATATACATCAATTTCTCCATTCGCCTTAATGGTGTACTGCTCAGTTAGTTAAACACAGGACATATTTTAATGGTGACTAGTGACTTTCATTATCTACAGGTCTGTATGACTGCAGTTACACTGACAGTATGTTATTAACAATATTTTTATAGTAAATTCATTCATTCATCAATGTCACTACAGCCCTTTGTTGGGCCCTGGCCTCTATTTCAGTTTCGTAATCTTTTTACACAAACGGTAGGATTTCTTGGACGAGTGATCAGCTCGTCCCAAGGCCGCTACCTACACACATAACAACACAAACACAGAAAAACGCACACAAACATCCATGCCCTGAGTGGGATTCGAACCCACGATCCCAGCGTCCGAGCGAGCTGAGACACTTCATGCCTTAGACCGCTCGGCTACCATGGTCGGCATGTTTATAGTAAGCACCACTGTAAGGGTGAGAAACACGATAAGATATAGCTTATTTAAAACGATACAATTTACTTCAATATAGACGTAAACATACAGCGATAGATGGCACGGCCTTCTTCAGGCCGCTCCCCGAACAATCTGTCTGTCAGCAGACGGCATGGTCCAGATGTGGTCCAGATCCTTGTCGTCCCATTCCATTTCTGAAGAATTTGGGTACACAGTTACTTGGAAGTATCTCCCAACCACTTTCCGTGGGACGCAGTGTATGAGACCACGGCGCCAGAGACCAATCAGGATGATGCCAGCCACCAGGACACATGCCAATAGGAGAGAGACGCTCAGTACGGTACTGACCTCGGAGTCCGTTTTCTGTCTTGCAGATTCGTGGGTGCAAGTGAAGTCTTTCAAGTCCACAGAAAGTAGAAGTTCATTGTGATGTTTCTCTGGAGAGAAACACCTGAAGAAAAAAAAGGAGAGATAGGAACTGTTAAACTTTTGTAGAACGGGAGACGGTGACATTTTGGTGATAATAAGGATGCACAATGGTAGCCGAGCGGTCTAAGGCATGCACTGTCTTCGCTCGCTCGGAAGCCGGGATCGTGGGTTCGAATTCCACATAAGGCATGTATGTTTGGTGTGTGTATGTTGTTTATTCCGTATTTGTGTTGTCCGGTGTTTAGGTAGAGGCCTTGCGACGAGCTGATCACCCGTCCAAGGAGTCCTAACGTCTGTAAAAATGATCATGAAACTGAGAAATCAGTCCTATGCTCTGAAGTGGGAGCGAAGAGGAAGAAAAGGAAGGATGCAGAATAAATATAAAACTGTGTTACTGTATCAGTCAGCATCATATACAGTATTAACGGAAGAGATCACAAGCTGTGTGGTATATAAAATAAGTGGCCAAACTTACTGAAAACCGGAAGCGCATATGAGAGATGAAGTGACAGGAGGGTGGAGAAAATTGCATAATGAGGAGCTTCATAACTTGTACTCTTCTCCAAGTATAATTAGAATGATCAAGTCAAGGAAGATGAGGTGGGCATGGCATGAAGTACGAATGGGGTAGAAAAAGAATACGTATAGGATATTGGTGGGAAAGCCAGAAGGAAAGAGACCACTAGGAAGACTAAGACATAGGTGGGTGCGTAATATTAAAATGAATCTGAGAGATATAGGATGGGATGGTATGGATTGGATTGATCTGGGTCAGGATAAGGACCAGTGGAGGGCTCTTGTGAACACGGTAATAAACCTTCGGATGCCATAAAATATTGCACAACTGGCGGCTTCTTAAGAAGAGTTCAACTCCATTAAGTTAGTTGCGTGAAAAAATTCAGATGATGGAGAACTGCAAACCAACATGGATAGGATGGAGTAGGTGTTTATGTACATGCTTTCCACACAGCAAGTCTCTTATGTTTAATATATTTGTAAACAAGAAGTTCTGGTAAAAACCAATCGCCTACTTTCCTTTGATACGACACGGACTGCATACAAAACGAAAAAAAAAATTGAGGGGGTCATAAACACACAGAGAAGTAATTAAATTACATAACAATAACTGGCAATAAGCCGTTGCCTAGCAACAGTAGGGGGAAAACAGACAAGCAGAGAGCAAGGTGACCTCATAAGCCTCCAAACAGAAATGAGGGAAGATAGACAGCAAGGTGATCTCATAAGCCTCCCAACAAATTTAGGGAAGACAGACAGCAAGGTGATCTCATAAGCCTCCTTTCAGTTTCCAAAATGAAGTAAGAAGGCTAAAAAGGGAATTGACTAATGTTTATTTCAGACAGCCGCATTAACTGACCAAAAGAGCCCCACGACGCTCTTGAGCCACAGTTTGGCCACGTTTGATGTATGTTTTCTATTACGAATGAAGCAAATGTAAACGTAAGAATATGCACCTACAGTATAAAAGGAAGCAGTGAAAGATATGACGACAAACACTGTGCAGTATAGAAGGCGAATTAGAACATTTCTTTATAAGGCGATGACAACAGAAACAACGTGACTCTGTACTTAGGCCTTAGACGCCTCGAATAGTCATTTTCGCGTAGCTATTCCGCGTACCTATTTTTGTTTAAAATACCCTCAGCACTTCCTAATAAGAACATTATAACTTTTTCAATTTTATTATCTCAGAATCATTTAATTTTTGCACTCGACACTTGAAAGTTAGCCAAAGTAATGGTCTACATCTACACCACACAGAACAGTATTTGCGGCATAGAATAATTCTGCATTTACACCATACAGAACAGTATTTGCGGCATAGCATAATTCTGCATTTACACCACACAAAACAGTATTTGCAACATAGCATAATTCTGCATGTACATCACACAGAACAGTATTTGCAACATAGCATAATTCTGCATTTACACCACACAGAACAGTATTTGCAACATAGCATAATTCTGCATCTACACCACACAGAACAGTATTTGCAACATAGCATAATTCTGCATGTACATCACACAGAACAGTATTTGCGATAAAGAATAATTCCATGCACATTCTCAAACCGATCGTGTATACAGTTACATTGTACCGCTTGCAGACATGTGATGCACTGCTTACTTACCTCAAGTACTCTGAACTCTCCAGAGAGAAATTAGTTTGTCGCATCCAAACCAATTTGCAGTCACATCGCCAAGGGTTTCCTTGTAGAGCCAGGTGTTCCAGCGTTGGCGCCAATGGCAAAAACGTTTTGCTGCTAAGGGTATGAAGCCCACTGCGAGCAAGTGAAAGCCGTTTCAATGGAACGGGTGCAGAATTTGGACTGCCGAAAGAAAATTCATCAAATTCATGCAGCTGAATACAGTTTTCCATCGTCAAAACTTCCAAAGATGTAAGGCCTTCAAATGCGTTTTCTTGAACGGTTCTCAGATGGATCAAGCGATCCAGTTGCAACTTTCTGAGTTTAGGATAGGATATAAAGTCACCAGGCAGAAGAACTTCAACGTTTATACCTGAAAGATTTAAACTCTCCAGTGATGCTGGAAGTATATCAACAATTTTCAGGGGATTATCGGCAAGGGAGAGATAGCGAAGCTGACTAGCCCCACTAAAGAGGCCATCCGGAATTTTTTCAATACTCATGTTATTTAAGGAGAGAGAACTAAGGTTTCTCTCAAGAAGGATGGCCAGACACTCTGCTGACTTCATGAGGTTCTTGCCCAAAGCAGTGTTATAACTCAAGATCAGAGAATCCAGATGTGGTGTTGAACTGAACAACTGGGGATGCAATTCTTGCAACCAATTCATTCCAAGATTAAGATTGGACAGACTCGAAAGGCCATTGAAAATTTTATCTGGTAGAATTGTTAACATATTGTAACTAAGATCTAAAGTCCGAAGGTTTGCGAGACCCCAAAAAGCACCTTCGTTGAGAGATGTAAATTTATTTCGCGATAAGCTCAGTTCTTCTAGATTGCCCCAATGAGAAAATTGCTCTGAAACAAACAAGAGAGAAAAATTGTTTACGCACTCGTATCAAAGATCCATGCATATAAGTATAGGGTGAATCGTATAGAACCAGCCCGATGAATTTGCTAATAATTCCACAGGTGATGCATATAACCGCTCACAATTACGACATAATAATCCGTGGGCCGTGCTGAGTCGAATGGTGTGCGCATGATCCGGCAAGTGGCAGCCCTTATGCTGCAAGGTCAAGGACAATCCCGAAACGTGTCTGCAGTGCGCAGGCGACAGTCATGGAGTACACTGTTGAACAGCGAGTGTTTCTAATGCCTACTTGAAAACGGCGGATACTTTCAACACCTGCTTTGATCACGGCACACAATCCAAGATCAGATATGTGTAAATTACTTTAATATCTGTATGGTATATTTTATATTACAGCTCATTTCGTCGGACCGGTTCTATATGAATCACCCTGTATTATAATGGCAAGAAAACACCTGAAAACATCGAATCTCACCAAAACATTTACAAGACATATGCTGTTAGCTCACATTCGAGAGAATACAATATTATTATTTTTTTAAGATGCTTGAAAATAAGACTACGTCCGATAGGCCGCTGCACATACAAAGTTAAATAGAGTCGAAAACACTTTTTAAATTATTAAGGAGACAATAAACAAGGGAGTCTATTTAACTGTTGAAGGATGAATCTATTTTTGACTTACACGCCAACTGGCAACTTCTTTTCAGACGTCATGACTAAATATACACAAACAATAAACATGTTATCAATTTCTGAAAAGCTGAGACAGCACAGCATAAAGAGCTGATAAACGGCTTTGAAATAGTTCCCATCGTAATTTCACCTCAGTGTTAAAGAAATTGTGAAGATTTCCAGATAAGGCTTTAAGAATGTTACTGAACTAATGCAAGGAGCACTGGCGACAGGAAAAAATAAAACAGAGATAAGATAATAGGTGTTAAATTGCCTTGGGTCTTTCCTCGTGGTATTTGTTGCATTGTATGTAGTTCAAACAAAGCTGTACTGAGCAAGGTAGGCTAGCGGCAACGCATCCAGCTCCTGTTTTGAGATTCCAACCAACGGCTTCAAAGAGGTTACAAATATATTTACTCCAACTAACGAATTTCATAACGGAATTTGTGAGTTTCAGTACATTTATTTAAAATATGATTTTTTTGAAGGAACCTAAAATTCACACACACACACTGTTGCGGCGTAATTTGAGACTAGAAGTCAAAAAGGCATTGCTTAAATGTTCCAAGACTTGCGACAAATGTTTTACAAAAATTAAATTAGTATGTCAACACCTGGACAGGCAATCTAGGTTAAGAATGCCTGAGTTAGCAGAATGCGCAATAGCACTTCTGCAAGTAGCGTTGCAGGGACACTGGGGTAAAGATAATATTATTAAATAAGCAGCAAAGAGGACCACAGGCCCACCCACAGCCAAAAGGTAGCCAATGGAAACCCTCCACCGGAGATTGAGGACGAAAGGAGGAGTTAACCTCCCTCTTTCGTCAACCGCAGATTCAGCAAGTTAAAGATATAAAGAGTACTGAATTCGGGAGACAAGGGGGAGCTAAAACGTAATAACCAATTGTCAGCCGGAGGCTCTATTCAATATGGGTCTTACGAGTGGTGGAAGTTGGCCCGCGTCTCTTATTCCAAGTAAGTCACGTTTACTCATATAAGCCATGTTGTTAAATATTATGGCTGATAAAAGTGTTGTGGAAAATGTTGAAAGCAAACTTCAGTGTGCCCGGCGAGCCCTTAGGGGAGAATAATTATGTATCAAGTAATTGCCTAGGAAGATAGTCCGGAAATATGGCTGTCGTTATGGTGTATGTGCTAAGATTACCGGTAGTGTAGACTACGCACATTTGCGTTATAGTTACGACTAATGATTTTTGTGATAAATATAGTATGTGGGCTTTCAATATGTATAATTCTACGGGCAGATTATTTTAAGGGAGAAACTTTACGATAGGATAGTGTAGTAGTATGTAATGAGTAGTAGGGAATAGAGACAGGAAACAGGTTCATGTTAAACGAGGAATAATTGCATATCCTCATTAGTCGAAACAGAGAGAGAGAGAGAGAGAGAGAGAGGGGCTCAAGGCCTACATCCCCGAAGGGGAGAACATGAGGAAGCGTAGCGTGAAGTAAAGACTATGCTGACCCGACTGTAGGTCGGTCTTGTTAATATTGTAAATATTGTAAATAAGAGTGTAAATAGACAGGGTAGTTAGAGTAGGATGTACCGGGATTGTGATTCAAACCTCCATAATCACCTTTCCACTCCCGATCCCGAGCAATCCTGACCAAAGCGAGGGCAGAACTGACACAGGCCGCAGCAGCAACCGAAGACAACGACAGAAAAGGGTGAGGGACCAGAAATGAACTGGGATAGTAGGGTCACTTGCCACGCAGGCAGCGTTTAGTAGCTCTGTTATCAACGCCCCCTTAAGCTGTAATAAGTGGTAACAGTGGCGTTACCAACATTCGGGCCCANCACCAACCTTCATACGATATAATAGATGGTGGCAGCTTTATGAGAGAAGGAAGTCCAGAAACAGGAGAATCCTAGCTGAGGGTAAGCTAGGATTATTGTGTTAACCCCTTGCAGCATAAGCTGTTGTGGCAAGGAGTGATACCTCCACGCCCCCTGCCACCACGGCGTAATACACACACACACATATATATATGAGAAAATCTATTGCCTCTGCCGGGAATACAACCCCGAACGTCTAGTCCGTAGCCCGTCGTTATATTGACTGAGCTATTTGGCTGTCAGTACAATAAATGTAGTTCTACATTTTCTTTGTATTAAAAAGTAGGAGAAGCAATTAACAGGTATTAAAACGGAACGCTGTTGCATTAATAAATAGCTTCATATTTCATACCACTGTACGAGGGAGAGTGAGTAAATAGGTCACCAATAGATGTAAAATGTAAAACATGTGATATTCGAAACTAAAAGAAAATTATTTCTCAACATATTCTCCACCAACATTAATACATTTGTCCCATCTCTTTACCAGTGCGTCGAAATCCGCAGCGTAGAAATCTTTTGGCTGTCGTCTCAGCCAATTCCGCACCTCCATTTCATCATCTGCGACTTTCGAACGTCCTTCAGAGTATTTCTCGACCCAGTTGTCAATCGTTTTAAGCGACAAACACTTCTCATCATAAACAGAAAGTTCTTTTTATGAATATCCTTCGCATTGGGTTCTTTTTCTCACAAGAATGCACAGCAGAACGCTGCTCTTCGGTATTACACTCCTCAAGTACGTTTGCCACTTTGACTACCGAAACCATTTTCTGAACATGCGCATGCGTATCTGCTACCTAGATTTTTTATTACAGAAAAAATATTTTAAATACAAAAAAGAAACCTAACCAATGCCCATCCGGCCTTCTGTAGCACAGTCTTATAAATATCTTATTCTATAGTAGCGATACACTGCGCTACCTAGATTGTCATAAAATTGGACTGTGTTGCTACCTAGTGATACATATAAAAAACCTGTTACGTCCATTACAGCTTATTTACTTCCATTTGTGGCCTATTTACTGACTCTCCCTCGTATTAACCCAATGGAATTCACTGAAACAGATAGTGTCGTTTGTTGTTCCAGTGCCTGAGGATCTACCCATAGTATCCACTTGACGTTTCAAATATACTACTCTGTATTTTGCAACGGTAAAGTAAAGGTAAAGCTATCTCTGTAACAGGCCGTGAAGTCCCATAGGGTTGTGAGACGTTGAGGATCCCACATTATCTGGACAATCGGCTCAAAGATGGCGGTAATATTGTCAGCTGCGCTTTACTCCCCAGGAAAATTATTAATTTAATTCCTGGTACTCATTTCTGTTAGAGGCTGAGTCAACCCCAGGGCCATATATGGTTACATATGTACCTTAGTTATATAAGCGCCAATTCTGGAGCAGGGATATTTTGGTAGACTCAACACATATTCTGATTGGACAAGCACAATGTGCTGCTGTCATCGACATCAGATAAAACAACTGAAATGTGGAGGGCATTCTAGATGACATGAGGTTGGCGATGAACTAATTTTAGTAGTATCGCAAAGGAAAATATTAACCCAACTATAGCCACGTCATTGGAATGAGTGACAGAAAGGGTAGGGAGACCCAGCGGAAGGCTATTGACACCGCCCTGCCTCCACTATGCGTCTTCATGACATAAAATTTAACGTCACGTGACACCGCCATCATGGTTTCACACAGTGTAACGCGTGCTGCAATGTTCCTCTCTTCAGATCTCCGTAGGGACAGACAAAGTCTGCGAGCAATATACTGCTTTTGCACAATGCGTTTTCTATGTTGAAAGCCTACTACTCTTAACACTCCGGTATCATGACCCCAAGGTCATGGAGTTGAGTCCTTAAGAAGCCAAGACGCTCAGCTACTCAAGAATTTCCCAACGTTGTATGGAGCCCCAATATCCATCACCATGCATATAAGTTCTTCCGCTGGTTCCCATCTTGAGGCAGACCAATCCAGTCCATACCATCCCATCCTATCTCCCTAAGATTCATCCTAATATTAGTCTCCCACCTACGTCTAGTTATTCCTAGTAGTCTCTTTCTTTCTGGCTTTCCCACCAAAATCCTGCATCTGATTTCCTCCTCTTCCCCATTCGTGCTACATGCCCTACTCATATAGTCCTTCTTGACTTGATCATTCTAATTATATTTGGTGAAGGTACAAATTATAAAGCTGCCCATTATGAAATGTTCCTCAATCTCCTAGGATCATTAGGATAAGTATTGCTAATACTAGAGCCTGACCGCCTCTGTGGTCTAGTGGTCAGAGTTCCTGGTTCCATTCCCGGCATTACCAGATTTTCTGAGAAGTAGTGGGTCTGGAACGGGGTCCACTCTGCCTCGTGAGGATAATTGAGGAGATATTTCAAGGAAATAGCGGCTCCAATCTAGAAAACCGAGATTAACGGCCGTGGGGATCCGTTGCTCTGAACAAGCGACATTCTCTATGCGCTAAAGTTGGCAGTAGCTTCGCCGACAAGCGGCGGTCGCTCGGTCGGTATAGTTCGCTTGCGGACTACAGGCCACGGAGTTTGTTTAATACGAGAGCCTGCTTTTTGGCAACTTCTTGAGTCACATTAAGCCATTCATCTTTCTTACAACATAACTCATCAATGTTTATTTAAAACTGATCCCTTTTCAGCATATCTCGCTGCGTTCTCAGGATGCAGATGAGAGCGAATGCTCACGCATGAAGCGTAGCTGCAGTTGCGGAAAACGGACAAGAGATGGCTTCAAGTTTGTGTGCTGGGTGTATGGTCAAATAACTCTTCATCATAAAGATATTTCAGGTTTATGAATGTCTCAGAATGTGGCACTATAACACTTCCTAGAATTCTGTGAACTCAGTTCCACCGCATTGAGAGCAAAAATCTCAGTCAGTGACGGTGGACTGAGCCTCGACATACCGTTCGTGAGAGAGGACAGTTGATTCCTTGAGAGGTCCAGGCTGCGTGCCTCCTGCGATATCACTAATTCTGTAGGCAGGCTCGATATATTGCGAGATGAGCAGTCCACGTCCCAGACATGGACGCCCAGCTCTGTGAGACTGGCCGTGCACCTGCAAGCTAGGCCTTCTGCGTCCCTCAAGCACAACTGCGGCGTCGGTTCGAGCGCAGAGGTCGCGGCCAACACAGTCACCAGTATCAACATAGCGAGCGCCATTCTGAAAAGCAATTTCATATGTTTACGCCATACTCTCGTAATTCACGGCTTGTGTTTGTGTTTTGGTTTGAAGACTGTGACCGGATATTAAAAATCGTGTCTGTGAACACTGATTTAGGCCTACAAGAAAGTTTTAGGTCAGGGTGAAGGAACCTTATTAATACTCCAACAATTAATGTAACATAGAACGTATACTACATTTACAATTTAAATAATTTATTCTTAAAGTATTTCACAACGAGGAGCTTCACAATTTGTACTCTTCGTAAAATATAATCAGAATAGTAAAGTCAAGGAAGATGAGATGGGTAGGGCATGTAGTGCGCATGGGTGAGGATTTTGATGAGAAAGTCAGAAGGAAAACCACTAGGAAGACCTAGACGCAGATAGGAGGATAATATTAAAATGGATGGGGTGGTATGGGCTGGATTGATCTGGCTCTTGATAGGGACCAGTGACGGACTCTTGTGAACACGGAATGAACATTTGGGTTCCATAAAATGTTGGGAAATCATTGAGTGACTTAACAACTGCTGGCTTCTCAAGGACTCAGTTAGTTATCCTTAGAAACATCGCGAGACACGTATTCAGGATATCTGAACTCCGGCCCGCGTTAAGTGGATACCTTGTGATTGAGGTACGGCGTGTCCTCAGGTCGAGAACGGAAGTGACACGCTTCAGATGCGTACGAATAAGCAGTCGCGGACAGTCGACAATGATTCGTCCTCCAGCCTGGATGTGCTGTAGAGGGTTAAGTAAAGCAATATTGTGTTACGAAATACAGTAGAACTTGGTTATAACGTCATCAAAGGGACCTAAAAATAGTGTCGTTATAAACGAATGTCGTTGTAACCGAAATGGGCACTTCCACAGTAGCCTTATGTTAGTCACGTAAAAATCTACCAAAAACCGAGTTAAAATGTTGCATTTTTTAGTGAAATACGTAGTTAAGTACAGACTAACGTAACATTAAC